TTAAAGAACATTACTTTGAGGGGGGAACAACCCTATTTAGATGACACTAGAATGACAACAAAGTTTCACCAACTTACTATACATCAAACGCCACGTTTATATACCAAAGTAATGTACATTAACTGGATCTATAGATATCAAAGAGCATGCTTACTGCAATAATTTTGGTTCAAAAAGCATGTAATACCACAGTTCATAAGCACTTCCCTGGTATGTTGAGCATAGTCTATTAAAGTAAAAGGATCCAAGTGATATCGTACTTACCGTTCCTGTAGCACTCAGCATTGTGAGAGTAAACTTGTGGTCAAAAATGTAATCCTTATTCAGGAGATCTGCAGGTTTTCAAATCACAAATAGTCAATAAATGGGAACCGCAAACACCAAAGCAATGTGCCAATGTCCACGAATCTGCCAAGTTACCTTTAGCTTTCTTGCCAATATCGGCAAATGGAGCTGGACTGCTTCCCATCTTCGGATGTAGAAAACAACAATGCCTACAAAAGTAAAGCAGAAACACATTAATCAACCAATTAGATATGCTTCAAGTTCTTCTATTGCTTACAACTACAGTTCTCATCTTCCTCCCAAATAATATCCAAACAAGTAACCAAAAACTATTTCAATTCATCTATAGAATCGAAGCAAGCACGAATCGAATCGATCAAAAAGGAAATCTCCAGAAGCTAACGTTCCCGTAACGCAATCAAAAACAAAATATCATCTCAGCTCCGAGAAGAAGAAGAATCAAAACTAACGATAAGAAGAGAGGAGGAAGATTCCTTACGAAAATGGAAGATCGACGAATAAAAACGGAACCGATGACAATCAAACGGAGCTTCGTTGGATAAACCCTAGAAAACTGCTTCCGTCGCCTTCGATGATGAAATCCGGCGACGGCGGCTGAAGACAGTAACCACTATTTAGCAGTAAAATTGAAAAAAAAAAAGGACCCTCGAGAAACTCAAAGGTGAAGAAGAGAAGAGCAATGATAATGTCACTTGACGTTGAGGTTCGTTAGGTCACGCATTTGCTTTTTCTGAGTAAAGAAGAAAGGGCTTTTTTGCTTATTCGTCTGTGATTTAACTTATATCACAGGCAAAACTGTATCTTCTAATTCGTGAGGCCCATTCACTCCCCAAGCCGCCTTCGCTTCAGCTGTGTAAATGACGATTATACCCCTGATGTTGGTGACGAATTTTTTGATTTTTCCTTTAATTTGGTTACTTCATGAGTTAATGTAATAATCTGTACTATTGAAGATGGACACACAAAGAAAAGAGACCAAAAATTGTAGACGTTGCACGTTGCTTTGTGGGCAACTATAAAAAGAAGCCCACAAGATTGACTTTTGAACAATCCTTAATTAGTTTACTTACTACTACACATCCCACCAAAAAAAATATCGACTATTAGAGAGCCTTATTTAACGATCACTATAACAAATTAAGTATGAAATATAAGAAAGAATCCGATGAAAGCAAACGAAAAGACTATCTACGGTATGTGGTATAATTTTGAAGGCTTGAGATTGCTAGTAACATTGAAATAGTTCAATGTTCGTATCCACTTCTCTTGGTTCTTCAACAAATGAACCGCGATAGTGTCTGGCCAAAGCTCATGTGTGCATCGAGTTGGTGGCTCGGGGAAGTTATACATCGACCATTTAGCGTTAAACCGGTTTTTTCCTCGTCTTCCTTCTCGAATCCAATCGCCAAACACTTTGTCTTCAGGACCTTCTAGATGTTTCTTGGGAATTTCCGAGTCTTTGAGCCAAACCGCTATGTCCCATGACACTAAGTAACCCATTCCTGACATGTAATGAACAAATGGGTCCATGCTTGGACATGGAATTACATAGCCGTAGTAAAGATCTTCTCGAGCGAGTGGTCTTAAAGATGCAACGAGACTTTCTAGTCTTATGTATGTGTCGTCGTCGGCTTTCATTACGTAATGATACGGCGGGTTTGGTGCATCCGTCTCATTGAATATGTCTGGTAAGCTTGAGAAGTATGTGTAAGTCTTGCCTGTAGATATTTAGAAAAAATCTAATTAGTTAAAAACCTAAAACCTTTTTGATCAAAATCATAAGAGTATATAGACAAAATGGCGCACACATGTTTGCACATAATCAAACCTAACAACTACCATTTACCAAGTTTCGTTATGTTTATGCCAAACAATAACCAAGCCTATATATATCAAAACAAAAGAAGAAGAATTTGAATTCAAGATCAAAACCGAACCGAATTTGACTCTAAATTAACCAAGATAAACCAATTTACCTTTGTTCATATTCTCATTGCAATTGAGTATAATGATGTCCTCATAACGCATAATCTCCAAAGCCACGAGCACTTTTTGATCTTCTTTAGTCAAATTACAGAACACAAACTTCACATCAACCTTAACACCGTCCGGAACATTCTGTGTCCCGTAGATCATCCGGAGAAAATGCCGACGTGGATACTGATCAGGAAGTGTAAGGATTCCAATAAGAATCCTAATCTCATCATCAACAGAAGAAGAAGACAACAATGGAGTCTCCGATGAACCGTTATTCATCGGAACATTTGACAAAGCACATCTTCCAAAACTTAATAAGCTATCGAATCTAATCTCGTTGATGAAAGCTAATACACAAAGAGCTATGATGAAGAAGAAAGAAGGGATTATGAACTTTCTTCCTTCTGATCTTGGAGAAGATTTCATCTTCCTTGTTCAATGAAAGCTTAGAGATGTTGAGAAACAGAGGAAGTAAGAAATTAAATAAAAACGAAAAAAAAAAATTTACCTTAAAGGAAACGCATTAGGTTTTTTTTTGGGTGATATTTTTGTTGTTGTTGTTATGGGGAATCAAAAAAGAGCTTTAGAGAAGCTTAAGGAACGTGAGGTTCAAAGTAGAGTTTGTAAACGAAGCAAGTGTGTTGCTTCAGTATTTCACGCCATTTATCATGCTAGTGTCTCTATTTATTTATGTGATACTTGTCAAATTTTAACAGTAGATATGCACTAACTTTTTTGGAAGATTTTTTTAGAAAGATCGTTTGAGAAATACCGGTTTTTATTTTTATTTTTATAAAATATATTTGTTGATTACAAATATTTTTGTTTTAAAATTAATATATGCGTAAAAGTTTTTTTCTTATCGTAATTTTTGGTCAATAGATTAACCAGAAAATGAGTTTAATAATTCACTATAGTTACGCCTAATTTGTGAATTTTTAAATCCGATTGTATATATAATAGAATGTTATTTTATTGTAAATTAATGAAATTTTTTAGATTCTATTGGATGATCATCTTATTTATTACCTACAATCTTTTCTTTTCTTTTTTCCCTCAAACCCCATACATTAACAAATATAAGTCAAATAAGTTTCAGTTGAAAAAAAGGTCTTGTACTATATGGGATATTTTACTTTGAATCAAAAAGTGGTGGATCTAAGCCTAACGTCTAGCCAAAAATGTTAATATGAAAAAGTGTTTGTTTAAGTTTTAAAGTATTTAAATATAGCTTGCAAAATTGAAAGCAGGTTGATTGGAGTCAAATTTAAATTTGGTAAAATAAAACTAAGAACGTGGTGGGTTCGCAATTTCGTGATCCGCAACAATCTCATCTTGCCACTTCTTCTTCCCTAAACTTAATTAAGTCGTTGACTTCTTTTAGATCTTACTACACGCTTTACCTTTTTCCTCAGACCTCATATTTTATTGTCTTATGGGATTTAAGATTTGAGAAAATATTATTCATAAGAACATTTGATCTAAATGCAAAAGTGTTTGTGAAATAAATAAAAACGGTAAAAGTGTTCTTGGAATTTACTGTATATCTTAAAAGTTGACTTCACTTTGAAGTCAAAACGAGAAAAACAGAGATCAACTAGATTTTTGTGTGGGCCTAAAAGGATAGGTCAACATAGCCATTAGGCCATAAAGTCCAATATCCAAACTCAGCCCAATTAGGTCATATCCATTAGAAGAATGTATGCCGATGGACCACAACCACGATACGACTCAGTGGAAGATTAAAACAAGAGATATGATGGTCGCAAGAAACTTTAGGCACCTAATGATTGTGGTACAATATATATTTTTTGTTACATGATTGTGGTACATGAAACATGATCTTGATCTGTGTATTGGATGCTCTATGTAATAGAAATGAAATTTGAAAACGTCTTTGTACAACTTAAGATTTAAATCCAAATTCGGACAGTACTGTGTGGTTAATTAGTTCTTGAAGAATAATGTTGTTTTAATAAGTGATGATAGTTAAACACTTAAACTGATTATACGAAAGTTTGAAACGTTAACACAATTCCGAATTCCAAACTGGGTGATGGACCACTTGTTTTTTTAGCGACTACTATATATAGTCCAATAAATCTTAAAATTTCTAACGAAACGAATATAAAATTCTATAACTTACAGCAGTAAAATCAAATGATTTTGAAAATATATATACTTGTCGTTGGCCAAATAGTTCAATGAAAAGTATTTAATAGAAGCTTTGAATGCAATAGCAATCAATAAATTTTTTATACTCATATCAATAACATAACATTATATCATCACATTTCATTACATAAATGAATTATAAAATGTAAATGAACAAATGTGACTCACACTAATGACAATGGATAAGCCTACTACTACAAAAAAATAGCAGGCCAACTCATCATTAGCTAAGACCCAATGAAAATTATAGGATCTTAGTATTACAACAAATAAACGAATGTATAAATAAAAATATGAACATTATATTAAGGCGATCTGTAGTTGAAACTCTGATTATTACCCTGAAAATATTTAAGTTCCAAAGAGATTTGTCTCTCAATCTTAAGCTGTCTGTAGAAGTTAGCTATGAACATCTCAGCTTTGTTGTCTATGTCTTCATCTGAAGATTGATCATAACTCACGGTTCTATACAACGCTCCCCTTGAAGAACCGTTTAAGTCCGGTTCATTCTCTGCAAAAGCCGCTGTTAAACCGGGTCTATCGTTGAAACTTAACCGAAGAGACGAAGAAGAAGAGGAAGAACCAAGCATCGGTACGAGATCCCAGAGGCTGTTTATCTTGAAACTTAACACGAATCTTACTTTATTCACGGCTTGTCTCAACCGGTTTAGTAGCGAACGGTCTTTGCTCTTTGCCATGTCAGCTATACTTTGCTTGTTGAATAAATTGGTATCGATGGATCTTTGTTTTTGCGTTTGTGTGGATTTTTTTTTTGTGTATGATTTTTGAGATATGTTTGGAAATGAAAAAGTATGAGTCTTATATATGT